GTATGTGTGTGCTGCTTAAGTATGTAACTTGAATTCAGAAGTTAAATTACCTTTGCTAGAGCCTGTAAAGCAGATTAGTGAGCATGAGTTATGAGCTTTCTTTCTATCTCAGATGCTTGCTTGTATCTGTTTCTCCCACTCTAAGATGACTGTGATAATAATTGTAATCTTGCCAGTATACACTGTTCTAGTGGCTGGAGCATCAACTCAGATATTGGGATACCATTTGCAGTTGGGCAAGTTCAGTTCACTTCTCAATCCATTTCCCTTCAGAAAAATAACAGTGATAATATCTGTCCTTATCTATTTTTCTTAGAGGTTGTGAGAGTAAATGAAACATGGATGGAAACAGTTTGAGCATAAATACATAAATGTAAAAATTACTATTTTTTAGATTTACGTATGTGTGTTTTATTTAGATATTTCGGTATTTGTGCTTTTAGAAAGTCCTTCCCTCTTCATAAACATATGCATAATACACTCCATCACCATCACATGTAAAGAAACATACACACAAACCCTTATGTTATTATCTAATATGTGTCTGTGCATGCTCGGTCGCTTCAGTCATGTCTGACTCTTTGCAGCCCTATGGACTGTAGCCTGCCAGGCTCCTCTGTCCTTGAGATTCTCCAGGCAAGAATACAGGGGTGGGTTGCCATGCCCTCCTCCAGGGGATCTTCCCACCCAGGGATCGAACCTGCATCTCATATGTCTCCTACACTGGCAGGCGGGTTCTTTACCACTAGCACCACCTGGGAAGCCCGTTATCTAATATACTTTTAAAGAATAGTTACTTTGTACTGTGTTGAATTTGATCAACTCATTAACGTACTTATATGTGGCTATGCATGCATCCATTCATTCATTAATATATTCAGCAGATATTTGTCAAGTTCCCACTGTGTTTCAGGTACTGTGCTTTGCTGGGGAAACTATACTCATCAAAATAGGACTGATTCTTGGCTCATGAGCCTAAGTCTAGGAAGGAAGGTGACAGCTAAAGTTTAAAGTTATATGGGTGATTGTTAAAGCTTAATGAATGATTTAAAATGTGATCCAGGTGTGCACTTGACAATATATGTGGTGAAAGTTTATGATGTGTAACTGCATATACTTATCTCTTTGTGAGACTATATTTGAAATAAAAAGGAACCCTAAGCCCAGCTCGCTCTCTCTCGATTTGAACTGCATTTGAACTGCATTAGCTGATAGCTGACAAAACAGGGTTCAGAATTGACATAATTTTATACCATATGGCTAACTTTAGTTTTCACAAGTGAGTATCAATAGTTGTAAAGGAAATGTACTTCTCCATTCTTTCAGAAAGTATTGTATTATGAAGCTTCAAATATAGAGAAAAACTTGGTATACAGTTACACCCACCATACAGACTTACCAAATTTTTTCCATATTTGTTAACAATCCTTTAAGAATACAGTTTAAGTTTACTTTGTACGTCTCTGTGTTCACATTTTCCTTCATTCCTCCTCAGAGGAACTGTTATCCTGAAGTTGGTGTGAACATGTATGCATCTAGAAACACATTTGGCATAGGCTTTGTGTTAACAATTTTGATAATATTTATATCATACTTTATATATCATTAAGCAACTTGTTTTTTACTCAAGATTTCTGGCTTATCTATATTGATATACATACATATTCAGTTTAGCAGCTATAGACTGTTTCATTTTATGAACGACTGTTTCTCAACATATTTATCCATTTCCTTTTCAATGGGCCTTTTAGCTTTTCTTTTTTCTCATTTGTCACGATTACAAAAAGTACTCCGAAGCACATCATTGTGTGTGTCTGTTGTGTCTGTGTGTTTTTTCACCTTGAAGTGGCATTTCTGGGTTCCAGAGCATGTGTATCTTCGTATCTACTAGACGTTGCCAAGTTGTTCTCCAAATGTCATACCACTATCTTACAGCTCGGGCTGCTATACCAAAGTATCACAGACTGGGTGGCTTATAGGAATTTATTTCTTACAGTTGCAGAGACTGGAAGTCTGCTATCAGGGTGCCAGCATGGTCACGTTCTGGTAAGGGCCCTCTTCCAGGTTACAAACTGTCAATTTTTGTATCCTCACATGGCAGAAGAGAGAGCTAGAGAACTCTTTGGGGTCTCTTTATAAGGACACTAATCCCATTTATGAGGGTTCCACCTTCATGACTTTATTATCTCCCAAAGACTCCACCTCCTAATACCAACACATTGGAGGTAAGGACTTCAATACACGAATTTTGTAAAAACACAAACGTTCAACATATAACAAGTATTTATACTTCCCCAAGTAGTATAAGAGGGTTCCTATTCCTCCATATTTTCCAGCATTCAGTATTGTCCGATTTAAAGCATTTTGCCAATTTTGTGCATATGAAATGATGTCTCACTGTTTTATTGAGCATTCTGTCACTTAGTAGTTGAGGTTTAATATCCTTCCGTGTGTTTATTGGCCACATGGGTTCCCTCTTCTATGAATTGCCTATTCATATCATCTGCCCGTTATTCTATTTGGTTGTTAGTCTTTTTCTTACTAATTTGAAGGAGATTATCTATTCTGCATATGAATCTCTTGTGCTTTGTAAATATCATCTCCCAGTCTGAGGCTTGTCTTAGAACTTTGCTTATGCTGCCTCTGTTGAACAGAACTTTTAAATTTTAATTTAATAAAATGTATCAAGGTCCTATTCTTTATAAAACTGTCTGTAAGAGAGTATCATTCCCATGCAACCTGGAGTCCTTCTCATTAAATTAAAATGAAGCAATTTGAAGTAAAACACCAGATTATATTGATATGACTTCATATAAAATAAGCTTAAGAGGTTACCTAGGAAGCTCTGGCATTGCCATCACTAAAAATGTAACTGCAACAGACCATTAAAGAAACTAAAGTTATGCAAGATGAAAAAGTTCTAGAGACCTGCTGTATAAGAATTTGCATAGTGTACAGTAAATAACAATACTGCAGTGTACACTTGAAAATTTGTTGAGGGTCGATCTCATGTTACATGGGGTTTTTTTGCCATAATTAAAAAGTAAATAAATAATTTAGCACATGTCCTTTCAGCCTTAAAAAACAGTAATTTCCCAGGAAATCGAAGTGTTAGTTCCTTCATTTATCAATAACTGTATTCCTTGGACAAGTCATTTCACCTCTCTAATTTTTTTCATATATAAAGTGAATAAATTGAATGTGGTCTCTCCAGCCCATTCCAACTCTAAAATTCTATGGCATGTGGAAATAAGGAATGGTTTGCATGTGTTCTAATGATTTTGAATGTTTATTAAGAATTTTCCCAATTTCAGATGATGCAGATTTTCAAGAACTCCACTTGTATTTCTTGGAGGTCTTCTAGTATATCTCTGTACTTCCTTTTGAACCTTTGTGGGGAGAAGGAGGTCATCAATTGTGCTAAAACAACTCTTGTAGATGTTCTTGGAAGACCTAAGCTAAGAGAAGAGACAAGAATTAAGAAAGAAGACAAATTGTATTAGATCAGAAGGGAAGGAGTGAAGATAGTAAGGTGTGTTTGGAGGGAAACCCTCAGTACTACTCTGTAACACCAGAGCCATCAGTGTCCTATGTTCTGAAAGTCAGAAAAAATGTTTTTGCTTTAATAAAGAACAGAGGGTCTATGTGTAGAGGTGAACTGGTCAAACGTGGATCTTGGTCAAATGAATCCATCAGCAGAATCTGACTTACAAAGTACTGCCCTTGGTATTTAAACATGACCCTTATCACAGCTACTGATCTCTGTTGGCAAATGACTGCCTTTGGCACTCCAGTTCCATGTGAAAACTACCCACTGATTTGCAGTCAAAACCACAACTAGATGACTTTTTAAAAATGTGATTCTGCTTGTAATATTGTAGGCCCAAATCCTGGCTCAGAAATAACTATTCTACCTCTAAAATCTACTGCCACACCCCCATACTGTCTCCAGTGTGTTTTAGATGATCATCCTTAAATCATTTCTCTACTTTTCATTGTTCAATTTATATTTCCAGATTATCTCTCAGTTTGCATTTTTCCTGCCTCTTCATCTATCTTCCAGTAGCCCAGTTTCATTCAAAAATCTTAGTGTGGGTGATATTCTTCTATAGGCCTTCTAGGTGATGCAAATAAAACTATGCAGGAGATCAGATACCATTCAAGTCTCATAGCAAAATAAAAGGATAGGCATGGCTGCTCTGCTTCTCAGCACCCTTTTACATTATATTCAAGCCTCACAGACCACTAACTTCTCCTTGAATTTACTTTCACGTTCTTTGTGTCCTTGCTCAAGAAATCCCTTTTGCCTAAAATATTCTGCTCTACTTTTCCTCCCCCACATCTGCTTTATGTATTCTTTAAGAATCAGCTCAAATTTGACTTATTAACCAGGTCACTGAAGAATCCATCACTGTGTTTTTGAGCACTTTGTTTATACTCAGCACCTTGCTTTATGGCTACTTGTTTACAACTGTTCTGCAGGTTCCCCAAACAAAGACACACAACACTACACACATCCTGTAACCTTGTGGGTGGAAACTTTATATTCATTTGTCATAAAGATATAACCCTTTCCTGATGGTAACTGTTACCTTCCTTGTAAATTTTTCTACCCACAATTTTAATATATAAAGAATGAGAAGAGGAAGACACATGCAAAGAATGACTTATTTGTGGACAACCAAAACAAACTTCATATTAGCCTAGTCTAATGGCTATAGAGCTTAGATAATAAGAAGAGAACAAAAAACAGCATTCTAGGACATACGCCTTGGCCTTGTTTAAAAGACCATGAAAGAGCGAATTTTCATTGCCACCCCAGTGGAACCTTATACTATAGAAGTGACACCAATCTTGGCAAATGTGGAACTAGCATCATTACTTTAGGTAGTGTACTGTAAACTTTCTTCATGACAGCGTTATAGATGCTATCTGAAGTGGGTATTCCAGCATCAACACTTGTTAAAATTGTGGTGACTGGTTCATTGTGTTTTCAACAGCTACACATAAATCAGCTCCTCCTCTGTAATGGAATAGATAGTGCAGCTCTCAACAAAGATGAAACAAATTGTAATTTTCTGATATCTTTAGGTAGCTAAAGCAATATGTCTCTATTAATACGCTTAAGAAAACTCATGAATATTATCACTTGCTTCTTTTGTCACTTGTTGGTCAGTTGGAACTTAACAGGAACTCACTTCCAAGCCAGAGGATTTTGAAGAAAATATTGATCAGCCTTAGATAATTAAAAACAACTAAAAACCGAATGATCTTTATATCACACACTAAGGTAATTAGGAGCCTATCATAAATGTGCATTCTATGGTATACTAAGAGAGATATGAAATTGCTAGTTTAGTCTCTAGTTCTACATTCCATAGCTCAGTAATGCAATAGAAACTGCACTTGGATAATACAAATTAAGGAGAGGTCCTTATGTTATAGGGTTATTCCCAGAAGGCTTTTAAAAGTCTTGTTAGGCTATTTTCTATCCTACCAAAATAATTATTGCCAAAGTTTGGGGTCTGCTTTCCTGTTAAACAATGAATAACAGATATCTGAGAGCTTTGCAGGTGTTATAACTTTTGAAATTTCTTTCCTAAACTGCATATGCCCTTTTTAAAATCAAATTGGTGGTGCTTTGTGTGTATTTTTGTTTGCTTATTTATTCCATCTTTATGGCTAAATATTGGAACCTGCTCTCCTACTAATTCAATAAACCAGAAATATTGTCTAACCTGTTCACATATACAGATCACTTACCCATATTCTGTCTCACTTATCTTCACATCTCAAGATTAGAAGGGGCTATGTAAAGAAGTCTTAGCTTTTGTGTGTGTCCTAGTTCTTAAAAAAAGTGGAGAAGACAAAACGCCAAGTGTATCCGAGAAAATGAGTAGGTTGAAGTTTTTGCTAATAGACCTAATGTAATTTACTTCCTGTATTTGAATGAGGCGTTTATCACTGTTTTATATACAATATGTTTTACTTATTGATTTTATTTTCTGTATCCACTACCAGAATGTGAGCTTCACGAGGGCTGGATTTTTATGTTTTCTTCCCTGTTGTATTTTCAGAGCCTAGTGTGTAATAATTGCTCAATAAATGTCTGTTAATTGAATGAAAGGAAAGTTATCCAAGTCTCACTGAGGCCAGTGTTAACTCAGATCCTTTGGATAACTGCAAGTAAGGAAGAGTGAGTAAAAGGTAACTCATTTTTATTGAGTGTTTTGATGTATATCAGGTCTTCTGTTGACTATGCTTTATTTGATTATCTCAAAAGTTCTCTGAAGTAGACAATACCTTCATTTACAGATAAAGAAACTGATGTTCAGGGAGTCGTTTTAATTATCTTACCCAAAGTTACATTGTCAATAAGTGGCAAGGCAGGTGTGTTATGCTAGATGGTTTGACACAAGAGCCTTTGTTCTTCTACCACACCACTCTGATCTTCTGGGACGGTCAGGGAAGCATTCATCTATAATACTATCTGTTGACACCTAAGCTGTACTCTAAGGGAACCATATATTCCTAAGTAGAGATAATACAATGATCACTTCGGTTAGGGAAGGGCTTTAGATGGTAGAAAATCTCTTTAGATGGCACCTATAGAGAGAATGTGAATCCCAAATGCTCCTATGAGGAGTTACGTCAGTAAGGAAACTGGAGTTTAGTCCTGGATTTCCCCTTAAAGAGCCATGACGTACGCTTCCAAGTACCCTAGAGTTCTCAGCAAAATGGAAGATGGGAATGGTGTTAGATCAGGTGACTGCCAAAGTCCCTGCCAACTTTAAGACTTCCTTTCTCTGACTGTGAAAGAATGGAAGGCCTGACAAGAGGCATTGTTTACTTTCATATTGGGAGCTCCAGTACCTTTCCAAAATTTCCTTTTCCCACTCAGTCCCTACCTCACAAAACAATCATGATAATCAGTTCATCATTTTTTAAAGATTCCACAAAGTTTTCACCAGCTCTACTCCTAAATGCACAGTAGCTGGACACAGATTATCTTATTCTTTCAGCTCACAAACCTTATGCTATCAAAATATATGGTTGCATTAATCTTCACAGTGGCTTTTAAAAAATATTTATTTATTTATTGGCTGCACTGGTCTTCGTTACTGTCGCAGTGGCTTTTTGCTTCCTACTTGAAAATGAAAGGCCTCATCAACTACTCTGGAATGTGACTATTGAACTGTTTGCAAATGAGTAAATGCAGTTAGGGGAGGTAATGTGATATATTCATTCAGTCAGTCAATTAACAAATATTATTTGAGTACTCATATGTCAGGCACTGTGTTAGGTGCTAGAATACTAAATTTTCAGCCTTCAGACCAGTTTAACCCCTTATAAGCTTCATTGGGCAAATTAATCTCCTTATACCCCAGTTTTCTCATTTTTTTAAAGTAATAATAATAATACCTGCTCTACCTACTCCAGGGCTTCTCTAGAGGTTCAGTGGTGAAGAATCTGCCTGCCAGTGCAGGAGACGGGGTTCAAACCCTGGTCAGAAAGTTCTCCTGGAGAAGTAAATGGCAACCCACTCCAGTATTCTTGCCTAGGAAATCCCATGGACAGAGGAGACTGGTGGGCTATAGTCCATGGAGTTGCTAAGTGTCAGACATGACTAGGTGACTAAACGACAACATACCTTCTCCAACCTCTAGAGTTATAAAACTTCAATATGGAATGATGTGAAATAAGGAAATGGCAACCCACTCCAGTATCTTGCCTTGAAAAGCCCATGGATGGAGAAGCCTGGTAGGCTACAGCCCATGGGGTTGCAAAGAGTCGGACACAACTGAGCGACTTCACTTTCACTTTTCACTTTTTTCACCTCTGTAAACTGTAAAGCACTACTTACTGTTGGTAATTTTTCTCTTGGACTTCATGTGTAGGATTTTTTTTTTTAATTTATTTATTTATTTTTTTATCACAACCATAGTGTATCTTTTTTTTTTTTTTTTACATGTATTCCCCATCCCGGTCCCCCCTCCCACCTCCCTCTCCACCCAATCCCTCTGGGTCTTCCCAGTGCACCAGGCCCAAGCACTTGTCTCATGCACCCAACCTGGGCTGGTGAACTGTTTCACCCTAGATAATATACGTGTTTCAATGCTGTTCTCTTGAAACATCCCACCCTCGCCTTCTCCCAGAGTCCACAAGTCTGTTCTATACATAGGAGTCTCTTTTTCTGTTTTGCACATAGGGTTATCGTTACCATCTTTCTAAATTCCATATATATGTGTTAGTATACTGTAATGGTCTTTATCTTTCAGGCTTACTTCGCTCTGTATAATGGGCTCCAGTTTCATCCATCTCATTAGAACTGATTCAAATGAATTCTTTTTAATGGCTGAGTAATATTCCATGGTGTATATGTACCACAGCTTCCTCATCCATTCATCTGCTGATGGGCATCTAGGTTGCTTTCATGTCCTGGCTATTATAAACAGTGCTGCGATGAACATTGGGGTGCACGTGTCTCTTTCAGATCTGGTTTCCTCGGTGTGTATGCCCAGAAGTGGGGTGCTGGGTCATATGGCAGTTCTATTTCCAGCTTTTTAAGAAATCTCCACACTGTTTTCCATAGTGGCTGTACTGATTTGCATTCCCACCAACAGTGTAAGAGGGTTCCCTTTTCTCCACACCCTCTCCAGCATTTATTGCTTGTAGACTTTTGGATCGCAGCCATCCTGACTGGTGTGTAATGGTACCTCATTGTGGTTTTGATTTGCATTTCTCTGATAATGAGTGATGTTGAGCATCTTTTCATGTGTTTGTTAGCCATCTGTATGTCTTCCTTGGAGAAATGTCTGTTCAGTTCTTTGGCCCATTTTTTGATTGGGTCATTTATTTTTCTGGAGTTGAGCTGGAGGAGTTGCTTGTATATTTTTGAGATTAATCCTTTGTCTGTTGCTTCGTTTGCTATTATTTTCTCCCAATCTGAGGGCTGTCTTTTCACCTTGCTTATAGTTTCCTTTGTTGTGCAAAAGCTTTTAAGTTTCATTAGGTCCCATTTGTTTATTTTTGCTTTTATTTCTAAAATTCTGGGATGTGGGTCATAGAGGATCCTGCTGTGATTTATGTCGGAGAGTGTTTTGCCTATGTTCTCCTCTAGGAGTTTTATAGTTTCTGGTCTTACATTTAGATCTTTAATCCATCTTGAGTTTATTTTTGTGTATGGTGTTAGAAAGTGTTCTAGTTTCATTCTTTTACAGGTGGTTGACCAGTTTTCCCAGCACCACTTGTTAAAGAGGTTGTCTTTTTTCCATTGTATATCCTTGCCTCCTTTGTCAAAGATAAGGTGACCATAGGTTCGTGGATTTATCTCTGGGCTTTCTATTCTGTTCCATTGATCTATATTTCTGTCTTTGTGCCAGTACCATACTGTCTTGATGACTGTGGCTTTGTAGTATAGTCTGAAGTCAGGCAGATTGATTCCTCCAGTTCCATTCTTCTTTCTCAGGATTACTTTGGCTATTCGAGGTTTTTTGTATTTCCATACAAATTGTGAAATTATTCGTTCTAGTTCTGTGAAAAATACCGTTGGTAGTTTGATAGGGATTGCATTGAATCTGTAGATTGCTTTGGGTAGTATAGCCATTTTGACAATATTGATTCTTCCAATCCATGAACACGGTATATTTCTCCATCTGTTTGTGTCCTCTTTGATTTCTTTCATCAGTGTTTTATAGTTTTCTATGTATAGGTCTTTTGTTTCTTTAGGTAGATATACTCCTAAGTATTTTATTCTTTTTGTTGCAATGGTGAATGGTATTGTTTCCTTAATTTCTCTTTCTGTTTTCTCATTGTTAGTGTATAGGAATGCAAGAGATTTCTGTGTGTTAATTTTATATCCTGCAACTTTACTGTATTCGTTGATTATCTCTAGTAATTTTCTGGTAGAGTCTTTAGGATTTTCTATGTAGAGGATCATGTCATCTGCAAACAGCGAGAGTTTCACTTCTTCTTTTCCTATCTGGATTCCTTTTACTTCTTTTTCTGCTCTGATTGCTGTGGCCAAAACTTCCAAAACTATGTTGAATAGTAGTGGTGAGAGTGGGCACCCTTGTCTTGTTCCTGATTTC